TCATGCTTTGATTCTTTCAAAGAATACTCACAATTTTTGTTTGTGACTTAATCAAGATTTGACCACAGCTTAAGGAACAGTTTCATAGTATTATTGACCCTGAACTTCTGTCCATCTCATGCATTTACATAGTAAACTCCTTACTGTAAACTATAGCTTGCTGTCTGATTAGTACAATGATGGTCTGATTTTTGTCAAGATGCATAGGGAATGCTGAAATTATAACTACAATAAACATATTGATGAGCAGGAAAGTCATTCCGAAATGCATAGTCACAGCTGCACTTTGTTTGAATTGAACGTGCCTTTTCACACTGGTATTATCTCAGATTCCTCCTTGAGTGCAATCTCATTGCAGCAGACATTTATCTAAGTTTTTAAAATCCACCTGTCAGATGTCTGACAGTATAAGAAGATGAATGACAGCCACTAGGATAAATGTCCTGGCCGGTCTCCAGAGTGACATGGCTGTCTGCTGAGCAGGGTATAAATTTTCAAACAGTCTGCAATCCTCTCAGTGATTTGTTTTTCTCACAATAAAATTTCCTGATAAAATTATTAATTTTACTTCAGATTAATAAGTAGCATTATTAAGTAGCATTATTATCTATTATTTACTCTTTTGCTATAACCTTTTGGACTATAGGGCAAGGCTAGGACTTCATTTAGTCCTAAAACAAACATCTGCATCAAAGAACTTTTGATGTAAACAAAAAACCAGGAGACAACAGAAAACGTGGTCACCAAATACAAAATGTACAGAATTCTGGAGACTCAGCTCTCCCACACAGAGTTGGTCTACACAGGTGATCAGACTGTTCATAAAGTGTTGGGGTTACAAGCAGGCCACCTTTTCGTGGCATCATTTAGACATTAACTATGCAGAAAAGGGTGTCCAGAAATGGGTATCTTATTGCTTACCCCTGCAGCCAGTACCCTTTTCTGCACTATCCATCTTCAGTATCAGTTATATAGTAATTTATAAAACAGGAAAAAAAGAGTAGCCCCATGAATACCAGAACTAAAATGGTTTGATGTCTTATGGGTTCTTGTGACTGATCGATACCGATGTCTGGAAAGGTGCAAGCTCACACTAAAGGTTACACGGGCTTTTCCCCATGGAATTCAGTGTTTAATAAGGCATAAGTTCTCACTGAAAATTCCCTCACCTGGGACACTCCTAAGATGCACTTGTAGGATCTCTTCTCCTTTTAAATGATCGTTTCTATGTCTTGTAAGAACTTCGCTATTTTAAGGCTGCCTCTCTGTCAGCTATGGTCGAACCTGGTTATCAGTTTCAGCATTATCTGAATTTCCACAGGAAAACAAAAAAATTGTTTTTTCTTCTTCACATTTTTATTTTGACCGAAGAATCCTCTCCTGAAAATTCATATCTGTCTTGCCTACAGGAATACTGCAGTACAGGAGCAGTTGAGGTAGCAACAGATTCTCCTCCCTTGATACATCAGCTTTTGGTGATGATCACCTAGGCTGAAGTCTAAACAACACAGGCTGTCATTTCCACAGCCACAGGACACCTCAGATCGGAAAGGACTGATCAATGGGTGGCTTACGGCACTGCCTTTTTTTAGTTGCTAGCTCATAAGTCATCCTGAAACCTGAGCTTGGATGGCAGCTCTGAGGTTATTCTATTTTCCACTCTGATCCAGCCGCCTTCTAAGTCATCTTGGTTTACTATTTTTTCAACTGTGTTACACCACATGTCCTTTTCACCGTCTGTTCCTACATATCACTCCTCTGTTGGCATAGATCTGAAAACAACTAAAATAAAATTGTTGTCTACTATCTTACTTATTTGCCAAGCCGAACGGCCCATTTTAGTCTCCCATCTCTTCTTTGCCTATAGAAGTTCAGGGCCCTTTCTCTGACAAAACAACACACGGCTCAGCTCCCGCTGTCTGATGCAGCAGCCCTTTTACAACAGGCACATCTGTAGCAGCTGGGGCAGGCAGTGCCTGACTTGAAATGAGTTTTGCAGTTGGCCACGTTTCAAAGGGAGTTTTTAACAGACAGTAGGGAAATTTCATGTCGTTAAGAAGTATGACAGCCACTTGGAGGTGGTAGTGAGCAAAGGTTTCAATGAAACTAACGTTTACCATCAAACCTAACTATGATAAAAAATTGAAAAGCGAGAGCTGCTGGAAGCCTATGAAATGTACTATAAAAGCAGGTGCCATAAAACTGAGCCGATATAAATTTGCAGACTAATTTGATTGCTCGTGCAGATGCATAGCTGTTAATGCTCTATGGTTGATACGTTAGCAGCGACTGAAACAAGTCTGGCTCATTCCGTTTTCAGTAAACAGGCCATGAGGTTGGCTGCAAATGGTCTGTTTAGCAGAATAGACTGAACTTATGAAAAATTATTCATTATGAACATTTACAACCCACACATGTAATTTATATCATTTGACCACTCAACATAAAAGGTTTATTGTTTTTGGCAAAATAAGCTGCAAACATCCTTAATTGGGATGCAAATTTAATGCACAGTTTAGCACTGTTGACAGCTAAAAGGCTCATACGGACATTTCCATACATTCTTCCACTTATGTTACAGATGGTGAACAGCAGACACATAGTCAAGAGCCAAAATTATTTCAAAAGTGTAGTATTCTTATCTCACAATTTTTATATGTTTGTCAATATCACAAGACTGACTTAAAGAATTTTTTTTCCTAGTGAAATATACAAAGTGGAAAAATTAAGTTTTGTAATGAAATCAAGTATGTGAGAAATCTTGAAAAGTTACAACCATCTAATATTTTTTCAGACTACTTGCAAAACAGCTTCTATCAAATTAGTTGTACAGGTTTGATAACTCTTAGCCTGTAGTACCTGCTCACTGACAGAAAAGGCTTAAGTTAAATATCACAAGGTATTGTTGAAAGCTTCTATTTTCCAGTCACTGAATGAAGTTCGATGCATGTAAACACCTGAGACACACTGTTGGCTTGCACAAGCCAGATGAGGTCTGATCTGTACCCCGTTAAATTCAGGGTAAGATTTATTGATTTTAATGGGAGTTTGATCAGAATTATTGGTTATACCTGTATACACAGAACTGTCTATGGCAGCGATGCCAGCTGGCCTAGAGCGTCCTATTAACTTTATTAGCGCTATTAAATGCTATTATCATTCAAAACTGCCTGCCTGCATGAAACGTGCCTATTAGGAATGGTTCCTTGTCTGCGCCAGCTCCTAAGCCGTACCCAGGAACAGTGTTGGCTGGCCTGGGCCAAAGCCGTGCCAGGGAACACTTAACAGCACAGATGACTGAGTTTCAGTGGCGCTGCTCAATTTACTAGCACAGATGTAGCCACCGTGCAAGGCACTGTGCAAGCCACTTTGCACTGGTCGAGCACAAGGCAAACCTCTCCACTTGTTTGCAGTTAATGCAATCTAATCCTACATTGATCAAATTGTTTTTTGCTTTTGATAGTATGTACAGGACAGCTGGGCCACTGGCTGACACCATTGAAGTAATTTATCTTTCGTTTGCTAGATGTATTTAACTCTATGTTGTAGATGTTAACAATTCTCTGTATCATGCAAAATCTGTATAAAGGGCTAATTTCTCTCAGATCATAAAGCTCTGAATCTTTCTGATCACGTAATAATTTTTTCCCATTTCTTTTTTTTTAATCTGAAAGGCTGGGAAAGCATGCTTACGCCAAATGCTATTACTATTCTTCAATTGCTATGCAAGAACTGTTCAGGATTTCCATAGAAGTTGCACAGAAACCTCTTTGTCCTTACCTGCACATGATTCTGAATGTTCTGGATAGTAATTATAATTTTTTCATCTTATGATCAACATAAATGTATTTACTCCTATCTTAGAATCAAGCTATGCTTGTGCCTTGAGTTTTTAGAATGTGTGATTAAAGTACATAATAAAGTATGCTTAAACACACTAAAAGAAACTTGTAGAAACTTGTGGGTTAGCTGCTCTTGAACAATTCAATTTACTGTAATGATCTGCAAATAAGAAGTGGAGCTTTTCTCCATTTACACAATGTTGCCAACAAAAATACCAGGCTACTCAGAAGTGCAGAAAAAAAGAGGTGTTACTTCATCTGGGAATAGAAACTGATCCCTTTTGATGTAAAGTGCAGCTTCTTATATGAATATCACTACATATTACACCCGTGACTGTTTAACTGTCATCATCTAAAAATCACATTAGTGAAAACAGGGTTCGGTAAGTAACGTACTGGAGTCATTAATAAACCATTAGCTGTTGCTCACACTGTCATTTAGACAGTTGCCAGTATTACCACGGTTTCCTTAGTAAAATTTCCCTTTGTTGTAAAGGGAAATGTTTCCTTTGTTATGTAAAGGAATATAAGACTATCCAATATAATTGCTTCGAGTGAAATTACAGCTATAAAGTTTGTTTTTTTTTTTTTAAACTTACAAACTACATAAGTCCCTGTGCGTGACCCTGTAAGTCCCGTTTTGGGCTGGCTCCCTCCCATATGGATAAATCTGCCCTGTCATCTTCAACACTCTCTTTTGAGTAAATAGGCCAGGTACATGACCAGAATACCCTACATACTGCAGCTCTGCCATCTCCTCAAGCTTCGCCCCATGCTTTGTGAATACTGAAAGAAGTTCTAGAAACTGATTTTTCTCTTCTAAGCCAGTTTACCACAAAAAAGTGCATACGTACCTAACATAAGTGTAACATGCCTGTATCCTGATTTCTGCCTTTTTACATTGCTACCATGGTATAAAGAGAAATTCATAAAAATGAGAATTCAAACATGACTACTTAATTTATACTCAGCTTTGCTTAAAAAGTGAGAAGTACAAAAGCTTGGCTTGCTTCCATTAAAATGCTATAGATTTCTGCAAAACCAAGAGCTAGGTTAGTCACTATTTATTACTAAATACAACAGCTTTGCATGGAAAAAAACCAGTGTTATTGCCAAACCTCTTATCTGTTTGTCTATTGCATTGTATGAAGAACTTACTTTATTGACTGGAAGAATGTTTTTCACATTGAAGTAGAATCCAAAGTAAACCATGTTAAAAACTCCGTGACGGCCCAGTGTTGCAGTAAGACCTTTGTTGAGCCCTTGGAAGCCCAGACCATCGGTTTTAATGATCTGCCGAGCTTGAACAAAGCTAGATGGTTGCTACACAAATTAAGCAAAAGAAGGAAGAGATCATCTTTACAAAAATAAAACAATAACCATAGCATCATTTCAATCCTGTTGACAAACACAGTGTTGCCAATTCTTGTCATTTTATCTTGTCTCACCATATTTTCCCTTTCCTATGATCATGTAAAACCCACCCACAATTTTCATAAAAAAAAATTGCTCATTTTTCTGATTGCAGAAAAAAGATGAAAGCATGACTTGAGTACTGTAAAAGGCTAAGGATCCCTAAAGCAAAGGAAAAGGTCTTAAAATAATAATTAAGCCAAATATAGATTTTATAGAGCAACATGTGGTTTTGAATGTGTGAATTTGGCAATAGCTTTTTTATCATTGATTCTGTGCTGTTAAGATTGCGACAGATGAAACCCTTACACAACCAGAGTATATAACAATTATTCTGGACAATAAGAAGATAAAACCACCCTCCAGTAAAAGCAATGGCACAGGAACATGCATGGTGAGGGAGTGACAAAAGGGACAGAATTGGAACAGGAAATTTTTGAGCCATCGTGGCTAGGGAAGCACGTCCTTGGGAGCCACAAATTAGAGTGGCAAGGGAGGCTATAAATACTTGTGTTGAAGATCAGTTTGGAAGTTTCCAGATTCAATGTTAGGAATAGGGTTGAAAGGTGACAAAAGGCATACGCGTTGTCTGGGAACCCTTCTGGATCCTCTGAGGCTCCTCATGCTTTAAGAATGCAAACCACTGCTTTAAGACACTGAGTTCTGAATGTATTATTGGGTAGACAACACTTTTTAAAAACAGATCACATGTTAAACTTTCTTTTTGTAGTGCCGAAAATCTTGAAAAGAAGGTGTTTTTATTTTTTTTTTCTTTAGCATCCAACTGGAAATCCTGTTTTGCCCTCCTGATGAATTATTTGACTATAAAAGTGTAGTTAGATTTTGAAAATCAGTACATCAATTTAAATTCCAAGGTACAGATTTGGGAAATTTACTTTAGAAATCCTATTTTCAAAATAATGCCCAAAAGGAAAAGAAATAATTGTAGTCAGCCAATTTCCATTTAACGAAAGGCAGAAAGGAAGAAACTTTCTCAGAATCCATTCATATAATGATCAGTTCCTCAGACAGGATCTGCCTGACTACATACACATTTGATCTATTTTCCAATGTACTGTGATACTCAGGATCAGGCGTTCCCCTTCTAAACATTTTAGATTTCTTTTTAGCAAAATTATAGAAAAGTTCCTTTCAAAAAGGAACTGAGTTGACTTGAGTTTGGCTTTCTCCAAAGCATATAGACAGCTCTGGGTAACCAAATACTCAATTAGAAAGGCAAAACATGACTTCCACTAGGAGGCTCAAACATGAAAATATAGAAGAATTTTGACTACAGTGCTGTGAACACTGCTAATTTCAATACACTTAATTTGTTTATTAGCTTTCCATTTCAAAATATCACTGTGGTAGATCAACAGCATCAGCCAAATGATGCCTATTATATCTGACACAGGATATGATTGCTTATTTAGGTGACTGACAAGTTTAGTCTTTAATATTAAGTTTCATTCTGTTTTTTTTTTTCATATTTGGTAACTAATATTATCCTGTTAATGCTCTGCATACATTTTACTATAGTTTACTTTTCTAACTACCCCCAGGGATTCAGATCAGAATCTGTTCTAAAATGTTGATACCCAACATGGAATATGGTGCAGATACTAGCAATAACATCCTTTCTCATGCACAAAAAATGAGGGTTAGATCTTTAAAAATAACTAGTAGTCCTGAATAAAGTGATTTAAGCTGAATACAGCAACTTTCAATAGCAATGTATCCCTTGGTCTCATCTTGAATATGAATTTATTAATGACTCAGAGGGGAAGTCTATAACTTGCTGAACACCTGAGATGGGATCCATCAGTCCAAATGTAGATACCTGCAATGTCTACATCTACATGTGAGCTACTCAAAAATACTCCCTATTTCAGTCCTTTAGCAATAAAGAGGGCTCTCCTAGACAGCACTTCACTTCATCCAAAGTAGATGTCTACAATGTCAGCTGATCAAGCCATAGGTCTGTGTTTCATCACTGATGATGGAAGGACCTTAGGATGACTAATTCAGATGGAGGAATTTATTGTATAAACATCTGGAGTTTAATTCACTTCACACAACTGTTGACTTATACTTAATAGAGACCTAGTCAGTGGAATCTGGAGTCAGATTCTTCTCATCATAAAGCAGAAACTTGCATTTGTTTAATTAATCACAACTCTTAAGTCAGGTGAGAAGATTTTTATTACCACACTAGTGAATTATCCATGGCTACAGGGAAAAGAAAAAAAATCAACAAAAAAAAACCCCCAAACAACAAGGTGTTAGGCCTTCTAGCAGTTTACCTTAACAAAAAGTCACCATTATTTTTACCTGTAGCAATCCACATTACAAAAGTGACGATATGTGATTTATAGTGGCCTTCCTCTTTAAACCTATCAGCCCTAGAAAGATGATCTGGTACCACAGAATAATTCAGCTGTCACCGTAATGTGTGAATATTTGCTTTGGGGGTGTGCAGGAGTCTGGGTGTGGATGTATGTGTTCATGCTCTTCCTTGTTCCTTTTAAACAAGATGTATTTATTATTTCAATACAATAGTCAAAGAAATATGTGAACTGCATTAGGTTTCATCATATAGTATGAAAGCTACACAATGGGACAGGTACATACTTTACTTAAACCTTTTAGAAAAACAGTGCATGGTAATGAAATGAGTGTACCATTGCCTTATGCTGTATAATACAACATGCACATGCTTCTCCCAATAGGCTTGAGTTTACATGCTTTCGTGTGGAATGTTCTTTAACATATTATTAGTGAGAACTTGAGATCATGGTAATGAAGTCACTGGAGTTTTCCTGACTTACAGCAAAATGTGAAATGCTAACACTTTTTAAAAAGATATATTAAAAGTTGATATGTCTGTGATTTAACTATCTTTGTGATTTAAGAACTTCAGACCCTTGGATTTTTTCATTAGGGCAAATAGACATTTTTATTTATATTTTAGGTGTAAACTAGGTTGCTAGTGGAGTCCCAATACTATCTTTTATAATTTTATTTGTATGATAATACACTATTATTTGGATTTTTGTGAAACTTTGCATTTAAATTAAATTCAAAGAATTTAAGACAAAACAACTCAGAATGCTTTTGAACAGCTACACTGTGATTATTAGAGTATTCTGAAAGTCACCAAGGAAGGGATGCTGTAATTAAAGTAAGTAGCTGCAAAAAAATTTACTAACTAAAACACCCCAGACTTTGTTACAAAGTTTGCAATAGAGAAAAAAAATAAATTGTATGAAGCAAAAGGATATATTGGTCTCTTGCAACTTTACAGGAACTAGTTTGCTCAAGATATAATAATGGTGTATTTACACTCAAAACCAGAGGTTTTATTAACATGATAGGTTAATTGTATCTTCCCAACTGTGAGGCAGAAAGATCCAGAATATCTGCTTAGTTTACTACTGCTGGAGCAGTAGTAGTCCATAATTATTTTTGTATCACTTTCCTGAGAGAGAGAGACCCTCTCACATATTGCTTTCTCCCACTCTCAGTCTCTCTCCTTCCATGACCCTAACCTTTTCACTCCTGTACTGCATTAGCTCTCTGTTTCAGTGTCTTTGCTACCCATGGGTAAAAAATGTCTAGGCTGGAGACTTGGACCAACCAAACATCTATTTCACATGTATTGAGAATTGAACAGAAATTTGCTAAATCTTTTAAAATTTATTCTGAAAAAGAATGCTTCTCTGGATGAGTAATGGAGTAGGTACCATCTAGTCTACGACATTTGGAAATTTTGCGTTACCTGAGGGTCTTGGCCCAAACAGCTTATGTAAATGGACAGGTGATAAATGTCTTTACTGTACATCCCCCAAAAGGATTCAGTTTGTGTGGATGAGTGCTACAAAGCATGCAAGTATTAACATAGTCAAAACTTAATAGTAGAACATGCAAAAACCATGCCTTACCAGGGATTCAGCCCACCTTTTCATGCCATGCTTATGTGATTTGGTACTTCTACCATGGTACAGCTGATTTCTCAAAAGATTTTGAAAGACCTGATTTGACAATTGTTAGTCTTATTCACTGAGAAAAGAAAGAATGAATTGTGTGACTGCCTTCCTTCACTTTAACCTGGAACATTTTCTACTTTAAAATTAATTGAAGCTGGTGCATCCTAGGAACACTTGATTTTGATGAATCACTGTTTTCCAGTTTAATCTTTTCCCCCTTTCAGCAGTACCCAGAACTGTGGACAAAGTCAGTTTTGCACACTGAAACAATATTTGAATAATAAAACTCTGAAGTGAAACAGGAATTGAAATTATTGGCGTGCTTTATTATGTAACTATTTCCCAGTTTGTGCTTATAAATGTGAAGACTATAACATAAATAATTTCATCCAAGACTCTGTAATACACCAGCTACATTTTTAACATAAAATAAACCAGCTGGACCCTGGCTAGGGCATGGGGTCGTGGTGTTTTACGCTAACCTTTGGTGCTCACTTGAAGTCTGGAGCCTGCTGGGGCAAATGCACTGTGTACATGGGGCTCAGGTTCGTACTTCTGGATTACAGTTCCTCACGGTGCTGGGCTGCTGGCTACTCAGGAGGGATGAAGGCGCACTTTAGGCACAGAATATTTACAATGGAGATGCTGACGCCACTGACAATACTGTATGCATCGCTGCATATCTGAAGGCATCATCTATTGAGTCTCTTCTCTCTTTTTCCATGTCTGTTAAGCTTGTGGGAAAATCATTTGCATCAACACAGAATGTTATAGATGTTGTGCTCTAAGTATGAACTTTGAAGTGCATTATGCCTAATAAAGCAGAAAAGGAATAATGGATCAGTTCTCATACCTCTGTGAAGGCATTCCGATTTGTCTGTAGGGTCACCTTCACTACTTCAAAAGGGTTAACCACAACTGCCTCTGTCAACCCAGATCCCAAGCCAGCAACGGCAAATGCCTAGGAAAGTTAAAATTCAAGTTAAAAATTCAGGAGTAAAATTTCCCATACATCAGATTACAAAACTGCAAGATTACAGTAATGCAGCAGTATTCTATTACTAAACAACTTTAGCCCTTGATTAGATGCTGACAGTTCTTGAAGACAGTATGACAATAGCCATAAACCGCATTTCAAAAACTGCAAAATAAAATGTCATAGCACCGTCAATGAATTCTCTTTTCAGCTGGAAGAAAAATTGTGGTACCATTTTATTACAAAAACATGGAAAAACAATGCCTTCATGTTATCTTTGGGTGGAGTCTGAATAAAAACACAAATATAAATGCAGTTATGCAGCACTGGAAAAAATAAAAACTCTGAGCATTAAGCATATAACACTAACATATTAACTTAAAAAAAAAAAGAAATATAAGAGATTAAAATACTGCAGTACTTAAGCAAGTTGCACAAGTAGAAGAAAAGTCCTCCTAAGAAAGTATTAATCCTGAAAAGGTTTATAGGGGAATGAGTGGCACACATGGAAATGTCAGCAACGTCTGCAAGAATGAATTAAATTCATTTACTTAGAAGCTGATGCTACATTAAAGCCATGGAAATGGAGATATTCACTGCTTTGCTTTCCATCACGACACAGCATTTAAAAATACCTTAATTCATCTGTAACAGAAAAATAATATTGGCATATTTAGGTCAATTGAGAAAATTCAGAGCAGTTAATTTTTGTCATCATTTTACACATTTATTACCTCCATTTAGTATCTCCAAACTTTCTAGGGGCTGAAAAGAGTCCCAGGACCAAAATACAATATATTGAGTACATTGATGAAATTCAAGGAAACTGATGGTAAGGAAAAAGCAATAGAGAGAAAAACAACTTGTTCAATATGGAGAGATTTGAGCAGGGACTCTTGAGGGCTCAAGAAAAAGAAGAACGGTAAGTTAGGAGGGTAGTGGCAAGCTCCAGACTTACCGCATTTGGAAAACACTGTGTTACCAACAAATCTATTTTTCCAGTATGAAATGGGAACATAACATATCCCTTTACCATCAGCCATGAGACTGAAGCCAGCAGGAAGACATTACTACTGTATGCATTTCTCTTTTAACAATAAATGTCTTGATTTGAGGTCTGCTGAAGCACCTAGAAGCATTCTGCATAGCTTAGACCCTCTAGTCTTCTTTTTCCCTCACTACCATGGCTATCTTGGGGCAAAAATGCCTCTGTGGTAACAGAATTGCACTAAAAATGTCAGAGGTATCTGATGGTTGCTGCATCTGCTATATGAATCAGAGCAGGTTTTGGTCAGCTATTGCATGTTTACAAGTTCCCAGTGTATTTTCCTCCAAAAAAAGTGACGGTATACTATGGAACCTTAAACTGTTCTTTCCACTTGCTAGAGAACAAATATCAGCTTCTCTACATGCTCTCTGAGTATTGTAATGATTTTGTTAGTGTAGCAAATACTTTATATTATTTAATACTTTTAAGTGGTGTGTGGTGGTGGTGGTTTTTTTTTGGGTTTTTTTTTTTTTTTTTTTTTTTTTTTTTTTTTTTTGGTTGTCATTTTGGTTCACATGGTGTGGAGTTATTTACTCTTACAAGACAAGATTTTACATATTTCCTTCAGTCATCACAAACTTCTCTCTTGAGAGCCAAAACTATAAAACAAATTCCAATTCAAAACTCACTTCACTAAGAAAGCTATAATACAGGTTTTCAGGACTTCTGTTTGTTTGTAATTTAACAAAGAGGGTATTTACCCTCTTCCAGATAATTCATGTTTTCAGTCTTGCTTAACGCTCTGATACACTGATAATTATAAGAAAAATGCAGGAGCCTCTAGAGAGAAAAAAATTTTAACAAATGCCAAAATAAGTAAACTGGAAGGAAGCAACAGACTAAAGTAGAAATATTGCACGGGAACTTACTGAAAATTTTCAAAAAAGAAACAACTTGGTAGTTAAAAATGACCTTTAAAGAAAACCTTATGATTTCGGGCAAAACTGGCCAGCATCTCCCACAGAAATTATGTACACCCTTTTTCAAGATTTTTCTGAAAATATTGTCACAATCACTATTTGGAACCATTCATTACCAAAACCTTTATAGTGTAACCATAAAGATATCAGTTATTTCCTATAGTTGTGATGCCATTATTGGGAAAACATGTATCTACTATTACTTGCATTCTTACACCACAGAAAGCAGTAATTCTTATTAAAAGTTTTTTATTGCAAATGATATGATAGCAGAATTAAGCCCTGTATAGGAGAATGCAGACAACATATGTAAGTTGCATTTTAGCATTAAAACATTTTTGTGTGTATGTATCATAGAATGGTTTGGGTTGGAAGG